GACACACCAGTAGCATCACTGATTTTTACCATAAACTCAATTTCAAATGGAATGATCTTGAACACTGTAAATGATCCTTTTACAACAGTTATGAAATTCACTCAAGTATGTATTTCTTGCCTAATGAACAATATTTACTTTTTAATTATGTTGTACTAAATATTTTATATGCTTTTTTATTTTTAGGAAGAAGTCAACAATGGAAAATTGATTTATCGTGATGAGTTTTCAGCCGATACTAAACAAAATCGAAATAGTGTTGTGGAACTCGGTGTATTTGATGGAAAACATTCAATTGATCTCAAACTTCAAGTTGAATCCTCTCCACCATTTATAAAAGTATTAAACAATTCTCAGTTAATGTTACGGCAAGGAGGAGCTGCTACTATCACCACTAATCATATTTATGCTGATACAAATTTAAATATACACTCTGATAAAATTAAGTAAGTGTATAATATAAATGTTCTGTTTGTTTTTTATTTATTTAACATTGTTTTATTTTAGCTATCAAGTAATGAATGGTCCTGGCCAAGGAGAAATTGAGCTTGGTACAAACATTGAGCCTTTAAAAACTACTATATTTAGTCAGGCAGAACTTGAAGCAGGTCATGTACGTTACCGGCATAATGGTGATGTGGAGAGTGTTCGAGATAGAGTAACCATCCGTGTATCTGCTGGTAGTACTGTATCTAGAGAATTAGAATTTGATATAAGGCTTTTACCTCAACACTATTGGGAACCACTTGAAGTCACTAAGAACTCTCCAATAATAGTTGATGAGTCAACTACCATTGCAGTTACCAGACAATACCTTGAAGTACAAAAAAAATATAATTTTATTAGTAAAACTATTATTTTTTTTATGTTTTATATTTTTAATTATAATTAATTGTAGGTAAAACAAGACATGGTGCCACCTTCAGATATTATGTACTTGGTGAAAGAACCTCCGCGTTATGGTTATTTAGAAAAAGAATCCAACGAAGAAGACCCTGGAAGTCCGGAAAACAACCATTTAACCACTTTCAATCAAAGTCTTATAAATAGTGGTCACCTTTACTATGTTCAATCAACCATGAACCAGAGTACTGATCGATTGGTCGTTGATATTACGAATGGAGTTGTTTCATTGTATGGTCTTGTTGTGAGTAATATTATTCTTAAAGGTTACTTCATAATACAAATAAAAATTATTTATAACAGATAAGTTTTGTGATTGTGCCAAAAAATGTATATTTAACAAGCTCCCAGCTTAATGTTATTGAGGGAGGAAATGTGACTTTGAGTGCCGATACATTTCCAGTTATGAGTTCATATTATACAGACAGAGTATCTCGATATTCATTGGTTAGTGCTCCAAACCACGGGCGTATTGTGCGAACTACTGCTGATACTTTTGATCCAACTATAGATTATTGGAGTCCTAAACAACTAGCGAGATCACAAATAATGGTTGGTTAGAATTATATTCATTCAAAGTTTGTATTAACTAATTTTATTTGCAATGTATTTTGTATTTCAGTATGTTCACGATGGGTCTGAGAGTACTGACGATAGTTTTTCAGTTAAAGTAGGAGTGTCTGATGAAAAAGAAAGTGCTCCGGTTGATATTGAAGTTAAAATAAATCCAGTGAACAATCAAAGACCTTTGATTATAAGGAATACTGGTATTAAAGTCTGGAAAGGTGGAATTGGGCTCATAACTTCGGATAACTTAAGTAAGTCAGCAAACATATCAATTAAAATCATTTTTTTACAACAAATTGCGTTATTTTAGCTGTTGAAGACAAAGACACAGATGTTTCCAACTTGACTTTTGTAGTGACATCATCTAGATGTGGTCACGTGATTTTAGAATTGCAACGTACTGAGAGATTTACTCAAGCACAAATTGATCAGGGTATTGTTTTTTTTCAACATTCTGGAGAACATTGCGATGGTGAATTGGAATTGTCAGCCCACGATGGTCTTCATTCTACAGGAGTTACACTATTTAAAATAACAACAGAACAAGCCTCGGTGAAACTTTTGGTTAATAACCCACTGAGAGTATTTCCAATGCTTGGACGTCAATTTACTATTGACCATTTAATGGCTCAATGTGATGATCCCAATTATCAGGTTACTTACATTGTAAGAAATGCACCAAGATATGGCATTGTGTCCAAGAGTGCTTCATATGAAGATTCAAATCAAATGGCTATTACAAATTTCACACAAAAAAACGTAAATGAATCAGCTGTGTGGTATCATCATGTATCGAAATATTTTTCCAGTAACACTACTAATGATGTTTTTACGTTTGATGCCATATGTGAATATGCAATTCCAATTACTAATCAAGTAAGTCAAACTAAATGATAATAAACAAACCTCCCATATTGTATATATAGTTAAATTCATGTAATATTTTTATTTTTTTTAGACTTTCAATCTAGAAATCACTGTATCGTCTGGTGGTCTTGAAGAACTTTTAATTGGTGATAAAACTAAAGAGCTTGTGGTTAAAGAAGGAGAATCAACAATTATTGACTTAAATACTACTGCCATTTTAACATTTTTAGTAAATAGCATTGGCATTAGATCTCCAACTATCAAAATTGAACTTACAAATGATCCTAAACATGGCAATGTGTGTCTTGATGACGATTGCGATCGACGAACATTTTCCCAAGGTCATATGCGGCGTAATCAAGTTAGATATGTACATGATCATTCAGATACCTTATCTGACAGTTTAGAATTTTCTGTTTACTTGGACATTGATCCTACTGCTGTTCCTTTATGTAATGTAACCATTCCAGTAAGTATCACACCTGTGAACGACCAACCATTCTTTTTAACTCAATCATATCCAAATTTGAGACTTGTTCAAGGGCAATCTGTAACATTGACTAGATCAGAACTGTTAACTGAAGATCCAGATACCCCACCTGAACAAATTGTTTATGATATTGTAACTGGACCCGCCTATGGTACTATCTGTTTGGCTGGTATTAAAAACTCTATTAGATTTACTCAAGCTGATATTGATGCCGGTGAAGTAGTTTACAAACATGATGGTCAGTTGAAACCTACCACATTTTATTTCCGAGTGTGGGATGGTCAATTTAATCCAGTCTATAAGGTCTTCCAAATTTATGTCATACCTGTCACTCTGAATGTGACTGTATCGTTACCTTTGCCATTACTTCAAGGAACATATGAAACAGTAGTAAATGAAAAGCTATTCCAAGTTGAAACAAATGGAGACAAAGATTCAGTCGCTTACAATATCTCAATGAATCCTAGGCATGGTGTAATCTATGTAAATGGCACAAAATCAAAATTATTTTCTCACAAAGATTTAAAAGATGGTAGAGTAATTTATAGACAGACTGACTTGACTTCTGCAGCAGATGCATTAAGATTATCTGCTCAAATGCATTGTGAACAATCTCCTGTAATTAGAGATTTATGGTTAAATGTTAGTGTTGAACCTTTGGTGAAAACTGGGGCATTTTATCCTTTAACAGGATTGAAATCACAACTTGGTGTCCAAGTTTTAAATGCTGAAATGTTAGCAAAATCCACAAGTTCTGATCCAAAGTACAAAATTTTAAGGAAACCAAAGTTTGGAAAATTGAAAAAAATTGTTAGGAGGTCTGGAGACAAACAAGTAATACGTGAAGTTGATGTTACTAAATTTTCACATGGAGAAATAGCTAGTGGGATAGTATATTTTGTGGCAAAGAAAGTACTGGAACCAGTAGAAGACAGTTTTCCATTTTTATTAACAGCAAATGGTGTGCAACCAGCAATTGGTGAATTGAGATTTCACGTATCTGTTGCTGAACCTCCTTCCACCACAACACCACATTTACCTACTACTACTTTTAAGTACTCTTCAACTTCTGTTAGCAAAAAATCAGATATTGTAGAAATAGCTAGACCAAATATGAGTGATGACTATTTGCTATGTGTTGGGTTCATTATGGCTGTGGTGGTAGCGTCCCTTGTCATTGTAGTTCTTATTCGGTGTCGATCTAAGAAACGTGCAGAAGAGTTGGATAAAATGAATCCCATGCCATTACCTTGCCCACCTGATGATTTGATGACCACATCTCCTAGAATGGACAAAAATGAAAATCACGGATGTAAAGTAATAGCTTTGGGTCCACCAGAACATACTGAACCAGAGACTGATTTTAATATGAGGTATCCATATGGTGCTGCTGATGAAGAATACAGTAGCAGTGCTGATGGTACAGAACAAAATAATCCAATGCTTAGAAGAAATCAGTATTGGGTTTGACGTAAGTAGTCAATAGTGTCTAACTATTATTTATTAAGTTAAATAAATTAAAATATTATATAAATAATACATTTTTTAAGCTATTATTACTATTAACTTGTATAATTAAACATTTAAATTAATTGTATAATAATTTTTTGTATTTTTATTTTTCCATCTCGATTAGAGTATTGAAAAATCTAGTGTGTAACATTTATAAATAATAACCCTACATTACCCAAAGTTGTATTACAAGTTTATCTTAACAAAATATTTTTACTTCCAGCTAACTATTTTAATTTTAAGTGACAACATTTTTAAGGGCATGTAACACATTAAATTAAGCTTATGTATTAAATACAATAATAGGTGCGGGTGGGGTGTTGAATGAACTAAAATAACATGAAATGTTTTGGAATTAATACCTGTACTCAATAACCCAACTTATGTATTATTAAGTTAATATTTATCAACATTTGGACTGTTGAAACATCTCATGTAAATAATACATGCGACAAATAATTAACTTCACAGTTATTTTTTTTTTCAAAACTTAATTTTGAATATCTTTGTAACATTGTCCAGATCATATAATTGACTGATTATTTTAATAAAATAATTAGTAATTAATCATTTAGTTAGACTAAAAAAAAAAAAAAAACGTTTTAGTATTAATTGATTAATTGTACTTAAAGAATGGTATTTAGTGATTGAATGTTGACAATTTTTTTTTCCGATTATGTAATACCCATTGATTAGTTTTTACATTTGTGTTTCTTAAATTGTGTTCATATCCAGTCTCTGAATTTGTATTTAATGTAATTTGCAAATGAAGAACATTTTTATTAGGAGAACTTATCATACCTCTATGTTATTCGTTTGTTCCCTTTCATTGTACAACACTTTACTACGGGCCAAGAAATTGTGTCAAAAGGTATTTAGGTTATCTATATTATAGTTGTACACTTGAATAAGTGTATCAATTATCTACCATAAAAAATATTATAAACGTTTTAAAACATTTATTAAGTCTTGAGCGCATGTCCCAAATTGTAATTATATTATAGTTTACCAATATATTATAATATTAAATGTCTTAAAGCTCAATTGATTATGACTTAGTTTTCTTATTGTACATACTATTTTTAGACTAATAAAATTAAAAATAATAAACTTAAACATTTCGAGTTCTATGTGGTATTTAATTATCATTAATGTATGGTGTTTGCCTACACTCTGATGTGAAAAGTGCCCAAAAAATCCGGTGCTCTGAGTATAACGTGTTCGAATTCCATGAAAGACAATTTTCCGTCGCCGTCTACGTCTGCTTCTTCGATGACTTTTTCGCACACCTGAACGATCTCCTCTGCCGACAATTGGCTACGCGTCAACAGCTTCAGCACTTGTTCAAGGTCGGCCGGTCCAATGTGATGGTCGTCGTCGAAATCTATAGCCACCAACGGTGGTTATTAAAAATAACATTTTGTGATACGAAAATCTTTGAATCGTTCATACAAATTGGAATAAAGTAGATATGTTAGACATAAATACATAATAGAATTGAATCATTGGTAAAGATCAAAAGGACTTTTACGATAGCGCGGTCTATCGTTAATGGACCAAATGTTGAACTGTAGGTGGGAGTCGATCCATAATATTAACCGTACCTGAATAGTATACAGTATACACACAGGAAACCTTAACTGACCTTAATATCGTACAATTTCGAGGATTTGTAAATAAATTATAACAACGGTTCAAAACCATTCATTTTTGAGGATTTTTTTTTAATAATATACCTAATATCAATTTTATAATTGTTAAATCTTTAGTTATACTCTTCAAAGATGTTTATGTAACATGTTTAAATATTGGATATTGCTGAACGAATAGATTTTATATAATTTAAACATTGAAAGTTTAGATGAGCAAGACAGTGTACTAAAAATTTGCGGAGTGTATCACCACCACTTCACGTAGATTCTCTATACTATAAATACTTGGTACTTGTATTTTAAACACAGTTCAATTTATAAATTGTCGAAAAATGAAAAAAGGTACTGCAGAATATGAAATTAGAACTGATCTACTGTAGAAAAAATAGTAGAAATACATAGTGTATAGACTGTCTAATGTCTATAATACCTATTACGTTTATACAAATATTATTAGTTGCCAACCAACCGTAAATCTTAAAGGCGTAGTACACTTTGATTTGCCTAGGAGCCTGTTCACTGAACACCGACAGCAAGTCTAAGAAATCTTCGAAGCTCAATGATCCATTACCTTCTTTCGAGAATACCTGGCATATGCGTTCTTTAAATGGGTTTTCCTGCAACAAAAACCAAATTTTATTGTGTAGCCCAAATTATAGGTATATGACTCGTATACTACTCGCCGTCCTATTTTGAGAGGGATAGACTCTATAGTTCATATACATTATACCCAGTTTAGTAACATTTTATATACATTTTACTTTACAGCCAAACAAATAAAAGTTATGATTCTATACGTGTTTCCTTATGAGTTATACTAGGTGTTAAAAAAAAATTGGAAACGCTTTAATTATACTGTTTGGCAATCGCATAAACAGACAACACTGCTGCACGTTAATTAGGTAAAATATTTAATCACCTCATTAATTGTTACCGTTTATTAGTCCTGATTCGTCTAACGGCCGTTTCCAAATTTTTTTAACGCCCCGTTCTTGTGTACGTTTTTAATATACTATAGTGGGTGCCTTCTTATGCTCAATACTTGGTGTTGAATTACAGACATTTTTTGTGGAATTTTATTAGTAACATTTTGGGAAAATCGTATATAGTACTTTATATCTACTCGTGGGTTGATGAGCTTGCCTATTCGGGGTAGCCGAGTATGCACCATACACGATACAAAAAATATGAGTAGGCACAGAAAACATTTTTGTTGCACTCTATACAATTTGTCGAAGTATGAGTTAACTATTGGTTATTGATAAATGATAAAGATTTGATCTCAATCAGGTACTTGTAATCACGACATTGATTACTAGGGCTGGGAATTGTATGCCTTATAAACATATATAGATGTCCTAACAATTTTAAATGATACACTTTTTAAATGTACTACAGAGCTATGGTATTATGACTTAGGTATCTAAAATAATAGGCACTTTTATTCTAAATCTTCAAAAATGAACGTGTATAAATTGCAAGTTCATAGAAATATATTTTTATAATAATTTGGTTTTATTTGACCGACAGCAAAATAAACATGTCATCACGGAGAGATGTGTGCAACCTAATCTCAGCTTGAATCAATCGAATCAGCTAATCTAAGTGGGTGGATAGGTATAACGCATTGCTGTAGAAGTGGCGTTATTAAACCAATTCTAAAAACTTTAGAAGTAAATAATTACAGTATATACATACGTTATTGAATTTTATATAATGGTTATATTTCAAGTTAATATGGACAATGTGAAAATAACGTTGAACAGCTCGTATTTTTCCAACACGTAAATACTTAGTAAATATATTATACATGTATAGGTAGGTAGGTATACAAATTTAACATGTCTATAGGTATATAATTAATCTAAACGTACACATATGTCTAAAAGTACTTACCTTAAGTTCTGGCAACTGTTCGATTCGTTCCTGTGGCACACGGATTTTTACCGGTTCGTCTCCGGTCATCTTCTTGGGCACCACTTCAGGACAAATAGCTCTGTACCTTTTATATACTCTTTAAAAACAAAACGGAACGGAATGTTAATCTTATAGTAAAAAATAAAAAAAATTTATTTTCACGTATTTGCAGTGTCTGAGTACCTAATTACAACTTACAAGTTTACAAAACCGCAGTACTGGAGCGTGCATGGCAAAATACCTATTATGATATTTTATTTTAAATATCAGCGCAGATACCAATTTATTCAACGTTTTCTAAATTCATAAATTAATACAGTTTCAAAGCAACGCAGATATGAATAGGAATTGAGTAGGTCTGCACATTGTATAACGTATAAGCAATCCTATATGCATCGAAAAACTTAAAAAATTACCGAAAAGACGAAAAACCTGATGATTTAAAAATGCCAAAAAATTGCAAAGTAAAAGTTTCGAAATTGAATTAATTAGTACCTAATTTGAATTTTGAACTTAGTGTTAAGAAGCTGTTTTACAGTAAGTTAAAAACAATACATTTTCCTTTAAATTCAATTGCCATAGTATAGGAAAAAATTATCATACAGGTTTGCGTTCCTTATAACTAATAAGTTATAAGTCGTATGTGCGATAAATATTTGTGCATGCTGTGCATTTCTAGGCTTCACCCCTCGTTTTTAGTTTTATTTTTTTAGAACGAGAAAAGGGAGCTTTTTTTCTATGGTTTATTTTCAACTTTGATTATACAGTACTCCACGCAGTGACACTAAACTCCAATGACTTTCGCGTAGGGAGGGGGAGTTTTGTCCCCATGACTTATTTTGAACTTTGGTTTTCTAGGACTCTAACTCCTGTAACTAACTATTACGTAATAGTTACGCTTATGGTTACCCATTATAGGCACATCCGACATCGGTATTGACCACGATGTTTTATATGTTAATGACAACGATAATTAATGATGTATAATGTATGCGATGATTTTTGCAAACAATTAGTTCAACATACCGTGTAATTAATAGATAAATAAATTATAAAAATCCTTCTGGACAAAAGCTGACACACAGTTTTCTAAATTTCCTTTCAGAATCGTTTTCGTATCCCTGTGAAATGATCAATGATTAAATTCAAATGTTACCTACTCGTAATGATGAGATACACCCATCACTCGAAACTTACGTAATGCACCTACTTTATAACAGGACGACATTTGACCAGACCCCATGACACCCCCCCTCTCTGGCTATGGCCCTGTCTACGTGGACTAAACTCATTATTACTTCACAATATTATAGTAAAGGATGATTTGCGTTTGGGCAAGTTTATCAAAACTACAATGGATTTGAGCCACGATGTTATCTATACATTGTGCGTTGAGCGAATGATTTTCAAATATTGCAAAGTGATATTTTCTAATACTCTGTAATGCGCGTTTGGGAAATATCTTATAAATGCATTTTCAGATAGTTTAGAACGTTATAATATTTATCTCCATCAGTAAATATTTCTTGGCTACACTGCAATATTTTTATGAATTTGGCACATTTGATATGCGTATAATAATTGAAAATTTACTGTAAATATTTATATTATCAATGGAATGAGCAATAAGCGTCGCGAATATTCGAGTGATGGGCATCAATTTATCATTTATTTTTCGTAAGCAATATAGTTATTTTCATACCTATATATAGTATTATAAAAATACAAATAAAAATGTATTTGTGCGTCTTATACAGGGTGATACAGGGTGACTCGTCAAGCATGCTCGCCCCATTTTTTTTAATTTGTTCCAAATTTGAATTTTAGAAATTTTTAAATATACATAAAGACCATATTTTTGAATTCTTGATAATTTTTGTACTACTTAAGGAGTGTCCAGTGGAGATATAAACTTCTGTTTTTTTTCAACGAGAACCCCCCTTTTCACCTGTAATTAATCAGTGGATAATTTTTCTGAAAAATTTGAAGTTTCCGAATCGAAATTCGTACGAGTAGTTTTTGAATTATTTAACTTTGAGTTCTAAGGATAGAGTCCATGGCTTATAAGGTATGGTGGCTATGGTGATTTGAAAATGTTAGTCATTCATATTAATCAGTCAACGTTAATAATATACAATAATGAGTAATGACCAAAGTATAATAAGTACTAGTTCCAATATTATGTCTATTTTATATTTTTGTAAAACCATTTTTAAGGACTATTGTCCTTAGTACAAATATTAATAATTAGGCAACTAATTATTCGAATTTTGATTTATGTTTATAAACATTTTCAAAAAAATAATCCGCTCAATAATTTACATTAAAAAGGGGGGTTCTCATTTAAAAAATAGAAGTTTTTAGATAGACACAACACACACAGTAAGTTTTTGGCTACCTACTAGTTATATTGTGACAATAATGAAGCAACACAATTTATAACTTTCATCAAAAGGGAAAAAAGTCGAAAAATAGCATCCATAGTTGTTTACATTTTACAATTTGTCACTTACGTCCTATTACAAACTTCAGTATATCGAGAAGAATGAGGAATCGTTTGTTCATATTATAATAATATTATAGAACCGTCAATATATTTAGTGGTCTCAGTTTATATAAATATATATAAATGTTATATAAATATTTATTCAACTAATTAATTATTACACGCTTATTTATATTTTATGAGTGTATTTTGTATTGTGAACAATAGCACACATAACTATACAAAAATAGTAACAGTTATGATATTTTCATTCAGTGACATTGTATTAAATAAATTATACAAATTGTCTACATTTTTTGTCTTCACTTGACCCATCTCCCCCACACACACACACACATAAACAAGGTGCTTGTGTGGCCTGGTAATGATTTGAAATGACCTGTAAACATTTTAGCATCAACAATAAAAAAGTTTTATAGCAGGGAGTCGATCTTTAGAGGAATATTAAAAATGAATTACACCAATATCGGTTGATTACGTAATCTTGAACACGTTTACGCTTTATAATTTATATACAAAGTAAAGTATTCACCCATTAACGAAGAAAAAAATACAATTTTCCGATGGAGAACAATAAAAGAACTAAGAAGAATATTACTGTACAATTTATTATTATGCTGCAAGTAATAATATATACCCAAATAAATAGTGGTCGATCACCAGATAATTTTTTAAGTAACCCGTTGGGAAAGGTTGAAACCCCTGTATATTATAGCATGTCTATGAAATATAAATAAGTAGTAATTTACTATTTGCTAAATATTTACTTAAATGATTTACTAGATTTACCCACTAAATCATTGCATTTTGTTAATTTTTTCATTAATTATATTATGTTACAATAAATGTACCTACGTACAATACTTTTTAGTTTTTAATGTGTTGCGTGTGCAGAGGCCATAGGCACACAAGCACGTACACTAGGGTTCAACATTCAACGTAGTCACAAATATTATTACAGATAAATCATGTTTACGGGTTTTTTTTATTTGTTATGTTCACTGTATCTTTTTACAGTTTAATGTTTAGTATAATTATTATACAATTTTGATTTTGTCGTCATCATTGTTATTGTTATTGTATCATATTACTTAGGTAGTTACGTATAATCTGAAGTATTATTTTTTAAATCTTAAGGCACCATAGTATTACCGTCAAGGCTATACATTTGTTCTAATGAAAAGATAAATTATGTTTTATGAAGACACTGGTTAACTATAGGTGAGACCAAAAGGTGGCGATCTACCTAAAGCCTAAAAAAAAAATGTTTCTCAATCATGCGAGTGTGGGAAAAGGGTAATTTACTTTTTTTACTCACAATATGTCATGTAATCATATTTTGAGTGACGTAAAGTGATCACAAATATATCGAGAGCTATAACCCCGTTCTACGTTTTTAATATTATATGATTTCGGTAGAAGTTCACGATTTTATAATATTTAAGGACGAAGGTATTTGAGAGGGACTGACCCTTAATTCCCTTGGCTATGCTCGTTATTATAATTAGACTTACTTTATTGTTTTTGTCTAGATCCACTTTTGTAAATGGGGCGCAAGTGTAATTGTTTAGTAATTTTTAGTGACTACATCGGACAAATGTGAATTCCACCTATGTACATTGTATATGAAATTTCATTATAATGCATAGAGTACAAAGCAAATAGTATATACACAACACGCATATAGATTATGGGTACATTATACAAATCATTTTTACATTTATATTATGTATTAAAAACAAAATTGTAGTAAAAAAATAATATGTACTCTATTTATCTAAAGCCTTTAAAAAAATATATGTCTAACCGGTTATAATTAATCGGAATATTTATGAACGCATTTAACCGGTTATTTGAACTGAAAAAATAATAATAACAAAAACCATTAAAAAAATCATTCAGGTTTCGACCCTGCCTACAGGCTACAATAACACTATATGTATTCGAAAAGAAAACTATTTTTCTTTCTTTTCGTAAAATCGGTTAAGTTCCTACGAAAAAAACTTGTTCAGTCGTTTCATAACAGTATCGAAAAGAATCTATGGTAGATTATATGCCTCTTCTTGGCTGGCATACGTCTGCAGTTATATAAGTAGATAACACTTAATAATCAATAAATATAATTCATAAGACAGTAATTATTTTATTATTTACATAATACATTAATGTATAATAGTATTATAGTACCCTACTATAGTAGTGTTCGTGGTTTTATTTTTATATTAACCATGGTCTATAATACGAATAAAAAATGTTTACTGCTGTATTGCGGTCATTGATATAAGAACAAAACGGTTTTTTAGATGATTTTAATTAATACTATTTGCATACAATAAGTATTCAAGCATAAAACTATTTAAAAATAACGGTTATATTATAAAACGTATATGAAATAAAATAATTCATAAATGTTGAATTTTTTGAAAAATCCTCTTCGACTTTAAATAAACACGTGTGCTGGTAAAAAAAAACACAACACACAAAATAAAGAGTACCTAACGCAAATAAATAATAATACACGTCATCTCCTGTTTGCACACATGTGCACCGGAGCTGCAGTGACTACCGCTATATAATATTACTCACCTAAGTATTTCCTTCCTGGTGAAAAAAGTGCAGTCCTGTAAAAGGAGGAAAAAAATAATCATCACACATCGCGGTTTCCGGGTGTAGCTATATACACTGTGAAGTGGTGTATGTATTGTGAGGAATGAAAAACTGAAAAATGAATTTACTGTATCTGTGCCGTTCGTGTCACTCACTCACTCACACACACACAGTAATGAATGATACGACGACTGAGTCACGGGATTCATGAAATGTGACAAATGCGTTCGATTGTAAAACTCCCCGTCTGTATAGAAATATGTCTACATTATATTATTATTATTATTTATTATTATTATTATTATCATTAATGCTTATGTAATACTGTGTAGTGTGTACAGTTTTTACTTTTCGCAGCACAAACCTTTATTAATTGACCCAGCCCACGACCCGGCACCACCGTAGACGGCAGTGTATTATTGTATTTTATTTATACGCCGATTGGCGTGCGAGTTAAATATAATAATATAATTGATAGTAATAATACTCAGGGTTTATCTGTTCGTTCAACATTCGAACACAAGCCAGTATTGATATTTCATGTCCAAACCCAAAGTGCACTCGGCCCATCCAACATTTAAGTGGCACTAAATCTCGACAGTCGAGACACCGGAGTTCTGTTATTGTCACTTCATGATTTTAATCAAACAACAAACGCGTGTGATACGATTTCTACAGATACACACATAAATCTGAACAAAATTATATACATAATAATTGATAGTTGATTATTTGTTTTTAATATTGGATATTCCGGATGTGTGAATAACCGCGGATTGTGTCTAACACAGTTATTGCTTATTTGAAATTCCGGGCAATTAAGTCGATTTCCGTTTTGTCGCATATCGGTGAAAAATTAGTAAAAAGAAGCATTCATGAGGGAAAAGATGCACGAGTCCAACTAAAATCTTAATGTATTGTCGAAAGCGACAAGTTTCAAATTTGTACCTCCCTCTCAAATCTCAATAATCCCATAGTATATGAAAAAAGCAAACTATGACGACGATTGACAACATTCAACATCTAAATCAAACAACTTAGGTACTTTTTAATAGTCATGTTATCAAATTTGAAGTATTGTCAGTCAACTACCCCGTGGTGTTTCCTGAATACCATTATGTCAATTAATAGACTGAAGTTCAGGAGACAACCATTATGTGTGCTAGGAATCAGTTCATGCGTCCGATGATTGCCAAATGAATTCAGAAATTGATTAATACATAAAGCTAGTCTCAGATATCAACTCACCCACGACCCACACGGGGTAGATATTATTTTAGGTCCACTGCCCATTAAAAATAGAAAATAAAATCATATATTTGCCACTACAATAACATCAAACAACAAAATATTGAATATTATATAATATATAACTATTAGCTACGGTAGGTAACGATTCTAAAGCCAAAATCCAAAATAATTATACTCTTCAATCATCAACTCCTTCCATCAACCACGAGATGGTAGTATCCTACCACGTTAGTACGTTACAGAGTTATTTATTACTTCGTTTATGATTTACATAAAATGTACATACGCATTTATACATTTTTGGAATACGAAAACAAAATAGAAGCCGAAAATGGATGGGTCATCGAACAGGTGGTAGTTTGGGGGGCGACATAATAACAATATGCCAATACAATATTGTCATCGAACGAAGAGCTACCTACCGATTCGGACAAGCGTACCCACTGAAGCAGATGATCACCAAACACAAGTGACGAGCGTTTGGCGTTACAATATTATTAAATATTAATTGGTGTGTGTACACCTCAATGAAGGTCCATGAATTGTTTTCCGTCGTGTTGTCGCATCGTGATTATTATATTATAATTTAATACAGTAAAATCAGTACACCATCTTTGAATAGTCACGCACAATGTATTCTTCACAAAAGCTTCCCAACCGAATCTCCGATGTTTTCCGGGTGTCGTTTTGTACGTCGTATCGGTTAATTCGCGGACGAACTACGTCTATCCTCTTGGATAGCTTAGTGTCATTTCTACTGTAGATTACACCTATTATACTGCAATAATTATTGTGACATCCATCGCTACGGGAGCGAAGACTTGGAGCATCACCGGGTGTTCTGTCCACCGTGGGGGGGGGGAAGAATTAACCGAGGAGAGGAGAACCCCCGATAAATAACGAAATTCACACGTCATATACAAAGTGTAGGAATAAATAGTCTATGCGCGTGTACAATGTTGAATGTGTGTGTACATATTTATACCTATATGGCTATATATAGGTAGTAGGTACCGAAATTAAAAGAATGTTTTAGATCCGATGACCGCGGTAATATTATCAAATAAATTGAATAGTTTTCTCGGAATATTTACGGATTTGCTACCAGAAAGAAAAAAAAATAATTTAAAAAAAAACTCGCTCTTCACCGCGTGTAATAAACATCTCTTCTCTACGAAATGCTGTCATCCCTCCGTGTAATGCTCACGCAGTTCATCGACTTCGGATCAACCAAAAAAAAAAAACCCATTTAATATTATACATGTATACATTATAATATTACCGTTTTTGTCACGTTCTACATTTAAATAATTTAGTGGTTCTCGGAATGGTCCAGTCTCGGGGAAACGAAATCTAAAAATAACAGAAAGTCGGAGGAAGATACTTATAATACATTTATCAACACACATGCTTGATTTTAATCTCGTGTTTACGGATTCCATTATAGTGTGCGATGCGCGGCCGACATTCGACGGTACTATATTATACAATATAATATCCGATTATTCCAGTGTAAGTCTCACCCCCCACCAGGTGATTGGATCAGGTTTTTTTTTCGAATATAGGGGCCCAATGCCAAGTCAACAGTTTTGAATATCTCAATGATTTAATTTCTTACTGTTGTCTTTTATTAATATCATTTATATTACCTACCGAATATGTATAATTATATACTTATTAGTTATTTTGAGTACTGTCGTTCTTTAATCTCTATAGGTATTTTGACCCCCAAAAAAACAAAATAATATCAATCCAATAATATCGTGTTCAAGATTCAGAAAAATAATCACGCACGGAACACTTGCATTTTTCTAATGTATCATATCGTATCGTATTTATACAATGCTTTTTTTTATACAAATAAGATTTGTCACGGAATTCTGTAGAGTACCTACATTTCAATTTACATTTGTCTATTTGTTTTGTTACCCACTAGTATACTATGTACTTCCTTCGTTTTGAGACAAGATTAAAAATGGCCGAACGCAACATTCGAAAAAAGTACCAAACACGTAATTAAGTCAAATTGTTCAATTATTTATACAAATATAACTTATACGTATGTAACTGTTATTTGATAAATAATCTTATATCGCATTTTCAAACGACTAAACGAATATCATTTTATCGTACAGTTACGAAAATAATTCATCCGCTTGCAGTGTTTGTATAGTATTACGTACTTTTAATGTCTACCGATTACGATTTATCGCCTTTGACAATCGATGTGCTAATCCGTATTCTGCACCAATTTTGTCATTGCCCATACACTACGGACACGCTAGAAGACAACCATAGGCAGCTGTCCTTCCTGCTTGTTAATATTGTTGATGTGAAACATCTAATGCCGGCTGGTGAGAGTGTGAGACCGCCAGACCGGCTGGGCTATTGGCGCGGTACTGAGCGAAACATGGAATACGCATTTGAAATAAAGAATGTTTTCTTAAAAAAAAATCTGGACATATTTTGTTTTTGATTATGCCACGTTCATTTCCTTTAATAAGCCATCCTTCCAATTCTCACGCATATCTTCTATACGAAATAATTTCGATGTTTTATACATCTGCCCGAAGGCATCCCGTGATACCTCACTTTTTTACTTTTCAAATATTGCAAAATTAATATAAAGCTCAGAGCGGCGGACTGGGACATTTTTCTACTGTGAAATTGCACAGTCGGTATCATATTATGTCCCCCGGGCTGGTACAGAATAATACACCTTGTATAATTTTAATATTGTACGATTTTTTTAAGACCTTTTCTATTTAGAGCACCTTGGTGGTAAACCAACATGATTCACTCCGCTCAACTTAAATTACCTTCTTATAAGTTATTAAGTATTTAAAACATGGGCTCTATAATTATGTTGAAAACTGTAATTTTTGAGAAGTCCCCGGCAATGCTTTTCAAGTACAAAACTGTTTCGTACATCAAAGAATTGAAAACTTTTATCTTGACATTTTTTGAGCAATAATTATTATAATTTTTAGGTCTTTCGTTAATTTTTAGTGGACATTTATACATAATGAACATTTTTAGATTAAACTTAATTGGTAATTAAAACAATTTTGTTCCGACTATTCATCATTTGTAGACCGTACTATTTATGATTTAAATACGTCGGTAACATCTTTATCCGTCTACAGTTTAACGGCTGTTAAATGCGTTCGGGACTTAAACTACTATTAACCAGTAACAACTTATTGGTCAGTTGGTGTTACATCGGAATCGCGTTTTTTCGATAAGTTAGAATTTTTTTTTTTTAAGAAATAACCCTCGGCAACTTGGCCATTGGGATTAGTTCCATTTTTTTTTTTACAAATAGGTATTACATAATAATATTAAAAAAAGTTTAATAACAACAAATTTCTAGACTAAATTATATGAGCTTCAATATTAAGGTTGTATAGTTCAGATTTTTAAATAAGTTAGTCCAATCCTGTTAGAATTTTTGCTTGCACAAGAAATTATTTTAACACTATTTTCGTCATTTTTAAGGACACTATTACGATTAAAACGCATTTTCGCTATTTTAACACATTTTTGGACAGTTATTAGAGTATTTAAATGCAGCCACTCATCTAAAATTCAATATTAATATGTAGAAGAAGTCCTTCAAAAACATACCTACTGCATTCGAATAAGAAATAATTTGTTACACAACTTGGAAATATGTAAAAAAATATGGCTGTTGCCAATGACCCAATGAATCATCGTTAAGATCAGTCGCCTCAAGTACAACCAAATAAATAGTCATAAAAAAGTCTACAGTAAGTTCCCTAATTAAGCAATTAATTATTTCATAAATTATTACGTACCAAACTACCTAAGGAAAATGATCGATCTATCTATCACTAGATTCTATCTATGATTTATGATAGGCACAATAAAAATAACAAACAATATTAATATTACCACTAATACATTTAAATTTTAAAAACATTTATCACCCGTTTATTGTAGTGATTGGTGAGTAACCATAGGTCAAAAATAAAGTTTTAAAAGTTTAGGTTATAATAGTATAGGGCCGATTTTTTCCATTCATAGTGGGTCAGATGGGTCCCAGTCCACCCCTCTATTTAACATCTTGTGTATTTAACCGTGTCAACTGAAATTAATTGTAAATCGTCTTCAGAAATACAATAATATTATTGACCACGGATTGCTACCAAAATGATTTGCCCCTCCCTTCCCACCACCACCGACAGTAAGGTCTGAACACGAAGACAACGTAATATTGTGGAGATAAAATATACCGGCACACTTTCAGCCGTATGTAAAACCCCTCTGTAACACGGTATCCGGTTATATCATCGCGGGGTCCACGACCTGCTCACCTCACTCACTACACAATATATTATGATACGTATGCTACAATAATAATATAGTCGACGGAACGAACAAGTGGTGTACCAACGAAAACAAACGAAACCGTAGGAGGGAAATAACCCGAAAACCCAATCGATCGTGTCTTATCGGCCGAATGTGCGTGTAAGACGACGCACCGCGCCGTTGAGGAATAATCGTACCAACTCGTTAATTATTAATTAACTCTTTATTCACCTGGTAGTCTTCGAGCTGCGATTCGGTGAAAGTCATCGCCTTGTTGCCCATAACTTCGCCGCCCGTGGAGCTACACGTCGTCGTGTTGCAATGGACCCGAGCTGCTGCGGGAACGGACTAGAAGACACAGACCAAACGCACGCGGAGCCAGTCTCGGGCCCGAAAACAGGAATACTAATAATTCGTGGGAAATCTACACGAGACCCTATCAGACGTCCTTGTACAGTGGAGTACAAACGAGTATCCGAACGGGCTGAACGATAATAACACCGAGCGAGCTCCTTGCACCCACCCAAACAAGAGCGTGAAGTCACGCGACGGGCGGTGACTAGGCCACCGAAGGACGGGAAATCGGCGGCTGGCCTTTTTAATACTTTTGATTTTTAGCAAACTGGGCGGAATGTGCTCGACGGACTATACACACACACACACGCTCACGGGGAAATGTAATTTTCGATTATATTATGGGTGTGGTGACCGGCTATCTATTTGACTTTCAGACCTTTTTCACTTAACGAGATTAAAAAGTACATCGTCAAAATTTAAAGTCACACATTGCTGCTGCTGGCCACTATCCAATGACAACCAAATGAAAAAAAAAACGTCAAGACACATAATATAATATAACCTATATTTTTTGGCAATCAATATACAAATGATAAACAAAAGAAAAAACAAAAAAAAAATCTAAAATAAAATAATAAAAACGGCTTGTAAACTTGATTTTTTTGATTTAACTTAAAAATTTGTACACAGTATAAATTATTTTATTGCACTTTCGGCCTTGCCATTTTTATAAAGTACTTTATGTTAATGTTAGCAGAATAAAAGAACAAACAAACGATACTAAAATATGCTGGGGTACACAAATGTTGGTCAAACTAAAAAATAAAAATCATTGTGCACTGTTTGATTTATATTTAAAAAATGAAAAAAAGTATTATATAACAACAAAATGAGTAATTTATATTTATATATGTATATATAATATATATACTATATTATATACCTTAACAAACATGCCCTAATATGTTAAATTTACAATCAGTACATAATATGAATATACAACAAGTGTTAAGAACAACGAGAAAAATAATGTGTTGAAAAACTAGAAAAAAAAAATATTCGATTAAACCCTTTTATTAATTTTAATTTTGTTTGTAAACTTTTCATAAACGAACCCTGTATTATGTTACAATGGTCAAAAATATAAAATATGTAAGCTCTCGAATATAATTTCAATGAAAATATGTCTGCCCTGTGGTCATCATTGTTACGTTTTATACATATTATATTTATATAGAAAATTGAGCCTACTAATGTGTGCTGCAAGAACAGTACCTACTATTATTTGTAACAAAACAATTAAACTAAAATCAGGTAAAAACACAGTGCTGACTAAAATATTTAAATGGCACCAAAAAGTTTACACATAGCACCGCTTACATACTAAACATAATAATTTCTAAAGTTTTCACATTATTTTTTCTTTTTACAAAAATATTGACTAACTTTATAAATGGTATACACTTTTGTTAATAATTTTGATTGAAAATAATGGCCATGAAATTGCACTTAAAAATATAACTTTAACATATTATTATCATACACATTTATTAGGTATCAAAATCTTATACAAAACAAAAACCTAATATTTTTAAATAAATATTTCAATTTACATACTTAAAAATAGAAGTTGATTATTATTATAATATATATATATATATATTCTATAGTTTTTGTATCTACTACATGTTCACACAACAATAATGTACATACAATTTGTGTAATTTTAATTTAAATGTACTCTTCTCAAATGTTATTTAACAAACAAAACATCTAATTTAAAATATGTTAGTGTAATTTAACAACAATATAATATTTACTTAGTCTATAATTGAATTTTGGCCAATATAATCAATTTTCGTCTTATTGTTTTATTGACTAGTAAATGTAGCCTACATTCTATTGTAACAGGACTAGACATTAACTTTTTGTAATATGTATTTTGATCAGCATATTATCATAACTGATGACAAAATAAAATTAATAAATAAATACAAATTTATTTACAAATGTTAAAAACATAGTAAAGATATGTTATGGAGTTAACAATGAAAAAAAACAAAAATATGGGATAAAAAGAAAAGGAATTTTCAAAAATAATTTAGTTACTTAATGTAAGTCATAGGTTGTCCTGTATAGAGAGTAGAAGTCATGCGGTCCATAAATATAAAATAAATAATCTATATGTTCAAGAAAAATATTTTGGATAAAGTAGCAGTGTGATGTCATCTGTACTTAACAATTTAGTCATGTTGGCCAAGTATCACGCAATCTTTTTGGTGGGGGTCCTCCTTCAAAGTCATGTCTTGAATCTACTAAGCTCTGGTTACTGGGCAACTGTCCGCCTAGTATAAAACGTTCTGGTTTTATACAATAAGAAAAAAAAACAATTATATTTTGTAAGTCAAAGGTCAAAGAGAGGAAAATTTACCTGTGACAGACAAGTGATGGGACGGTATCGAAGAGTGAGCATGTGGTAAAGATAAATGACTGATAGAATGTGAAACAACAGAGTTAGGTGCTGTTCCAGAGGTTGCTGAAGACGTATGGTGATGTAAATGTGGTGGCGAGTTAGGCTCGCTTTTAATACGGACGGAATTTGGTGATGGTGAAGAAGGTGGTGATGAATTTGGTACTCCTAGGTGAGACATTCCACTAGAACATACAATTTTTTTTTAATAAATATAAATATCATATAATTATCATATTAACAATTATAAACAAACCTGTTGTGTGCTAGTTGATTAGACCAATTCAATGCTGATGAAAGACCCATGTCGGTAGATGTAAGATCAGTAAAAATCCCATGATAAGAGCCACCCAATCCAGGTGTATGAAGCGCTACAACTGGTGTGTTTAGAGAGACAGTTGGTGTGTTAATTGAGTTTGCCTAGAATACAAAAATTGATTTACTGTTCCATTTTTTTAGGTTTATAAAAACACATATTAATAGTACAAATTGTAAAAATGTTAAATACATTATTGTCTTCGTGATGACTAGGAGCATTGGGCATGACTATACGCAAATTGGGTCTAGGTGAATGATGTCTTGGCGGTGGAGTAGCTCTATTAGAAGCATTTAAGGCTTTGGGCGTAGGCGATGGTGACATGACTAGTTGTCCCGGAGAAGAAGGTGAATTGACTAGTGCGGGCGATGAAGATGCTTGGTATCCATTACTCATTTCCAACATACTGCCAGGAGGGTAGACTAAAAAACAAAATTACAATTAATAATATTTTAAATTTGCTACCTTAATACAAAAAACTAACCAGAATCAGCATCAGAAGAAGATGGAGGTCTTGGGCTAGCATTGTGTTGCAGTTGTAAGTTCCCAGAGTCATTATACATGTTGTTTACAGGCATAGTGGTAGGAAGTGAATAGTTAGCACTGACATTATTCTGAAAATAAGTGTTTTTTTATATAATATTACGACATCGATTCCAGGTTTTCTCTAAGAAAAAATATTTACTCTGGCCATTCTTTGATGTTGCATTAAAAGCTGGAACTCTTCATCGATTTTACTGTATTTTGCTTCAGTTCTTGGTGTAAGTTGGTATGGTCCTTGTGTACCATCACAGCTTTCGTCTGGACTCTCAGGGCTCAATGCACCACCTTTAAGTTCTTTTTTGTTCAATTGCTATAAAATGAAAGGAAACATAAGTTTTAAGGATCTATGTTAATATTTATTATTGTATTATTACTTCGATAATATTCTTATTGGTGAGCGATTCGTGAGGTTCATTGTACTCTGTATATTTGAGCAACACTTTATCCATGTCTGTACTAGCATATTGATACAATTTATTAGAGCTGCTGAATATGATTAGAGCAATTTCACAATCGCATAACACACTCAGTTCATATGCTTTTTTCATGACGCCAAATTTTCTCTTGTTAAAGGTAACCTAAAGCATGATATTATAATTTATTATTGTTGTTTGGTGATAATAAATAAAAAATAAAAATAATGTATACAAATAAAAATACCTAATTAAATTTAAAAAATGTTCATTTATCGTATTCAGATAATATGGAAACGATTTATTTAATTATTAAAATTAGAAACAAACAAAAAATCGGTTTCTAATTTTAGTCGAGAAGAGCATTGGACCGAGTAAGTCAACCAAACCAAACGAACACTTGAAGTATCAGTATAACACTAATATGATATAAGTTAGTATAACACGTGCAATTTTTATAATAGATATTGTTTTCACATCAAACTTGTTCTCTAAAATAAATCGCAATTATTACAACGGTAAAAACTTTTTATCGTTTTATTGTTATGGTTGTGATAAACACATGTATAAAAAAGTTGATGGATATAAAAGAATTTTAACTATTGTCGCAATTCACGTCCAAAGCACGGACGACATACGGCTCATTTTTCAACGTAAGTATCTCCATTCGACTTACCGAGATATATAAATTCAAGAAACTGAGAAATGTATATTATGTATTTAAGTCGGGTACCATGCAACAAACTCAAAACGATAAGCTTAAGGGTTCCAGTTATTATCAGGTCATATTCAAAATATATACATTGGTAATAATTAAAACTATAGTTTCACGGGCTTTCTAGTGTGAACGATTTTGGGAAAAAGTATTTCGTGTCCGTAAACTATTATAATTATAGTTGTGCCAATCGTCGATAGTCCTGAACATAACTTATTACTAATGTCGAATAATAATTCGTGTGGATTCACTAGTACTAATAACTACCATATAACATAGTTATACTAGCTCTCCGGCAGAACAAACTTCAAAGTCTCATCCCTCCAACAGACCAAAAATAACGAAATTAATAATAATGTTACCTGGCGATTGCGTTCGTCGGTGATCCGCGATATCTGTATTTTCTTACGGCCCATGGTGGCGGCGGCGGCGTTAGGGTCCGCTGAACGGCGCCGTTCACTACTTCTTGGAATTCTGTTTGTCTTATCGATGACGATCGTATTTCTCCACCGAAGACGAGGGTGAAGACGACGACCCGACGATGAGCTCAATACTCCTTGTTGAATTGATCTCCTCACACGTTCTCGAACGATATCTGAGAAAACACGAAAGAACGACGGAGTTACAATGAGTGTTAAATAATAATTACTAAGGCGGTTGATGTGTAAACTCAAAATAATATAATAGATGGGCCATAAAAATGAATACAAAATATTAAAATTGTAAAATAATACATCATATAGGCTTACACATACACACGATAACTTCTTAGTGCTCACGGGGAGGACGCGACTAATGAACGCGGCAACAGAGTTAACGATAATGCGATTGTGTGTGTATTAATGTAGGTACCATGTATTTTCTTTCCGATCCGAAAAAAATAATAATATTTATCCACGACCGACCACCACCGAAAACGGGTCTGTCGTCTTCAGTCGCGACGTACGCACCACAATAGGTGTGTTACCAAACAGAATACGAGCCACGGCCAGCGCGCGCACACGAACACACACGAGACCGCACGCGCGTCCGTCGGTTGTAGGCTATTTCTGTAAAATTTTCCGGGGGGTTTTAACGACCGCGGCGATAAGGCGGTGAGTTACTTACGCGACGGACACACGAATAATAATAATAATAATAATAATAATATAATACTGTATTATTGTATTATATTCCACAATAATTATTATTGACGATAATCAATTATTGTCGATTAAATATTATTTATATATTATATAATAACCTGATAGACGCACAACGCACACTGGCCGTTGAGTATGATAATAGTAATAACTAGTAATATAATAAACGACGGCACGACGGTTCAGTAAATTAATATTAACAATCACCTGTACAACGCACAAAACGATTGGTTGCTCAGGTACGCAGAGGCGGCGTGTGTGCATTGTATCACCCGAAACGCGATTGAACGCAAGTTGCAAAGCAGATATCACCGTAGGTTGTAGAGACATTTCGTAAAGTCATAATAATATATTACTATAAACGAAAAAAAATGAAATATCTAGAACAAACTTGACCGATCCGTACACGCCGTGTTAACGCGTCTTTTAACCGCCAAACGACGACGATTCGACCTTGGGCACGACGTGATAACAACACCGCAGCAACAGTCGCAGACCGTACCTATTGCGGAGGATGTGCAGTGTGCGCGTAAATTTACGTACACAATGTAATAAACTAATAACACTAATATAATATTATATAGCTAATCACAAGACGTGAGGAATAACGTAATTTATTAGGTCCTGCCCTCCCACTGTTCAGTGTTCAGTCATCGACTGTTGTCGTAAATCACACGGTTGATGTTTTGAAAATCAAATACAATATAGGTATACTATACACGAGGATATAATAAATATACATTTAAATATTTCGGGCACTCATGGTATTGAATATTTTAATGATTCCAATATTATTCTTGAGTCAAAGACACGAAAAGAGATTTTATATTTTTTAATCCGTTTCAATACTATTTTTCATTGAAAAATATTTCATTGTCGCGATGACGAAATTAAAATTCCCCAACCGCCAGCCAGGCATACATGATAGTCGTTAAATCACGTAAAATATACAAATTGAATCGAAAAGAGACGTTGGCGAATAGCTTTGAATTATTGTAACATATAATTATAAGTATATACCTACTTCGTATAAACGCAGAATGTCTTGGTAGTTGGTATCCCCATGAGAGGTATTAATATATTATTATCTACCAAAAATAGGTACTTTTATGAAAAATCTATCGGCCAGTAACGATATTTCACGGGGCTAAATTAAGCAGAAGCACGCCGTGTACAAGTGTACACCACCAATAAAATGAGTTGTGATGAATCTGTATTTGTTTTCGCTAACTACGATGGATACATAATGTAACTATTACCATACGAATCTGTTAATAGTATAATATTAATCATTGTGACGTGCTTCCCTTGTTAAGCAGTGGATTAAAATAAATAAATCACCGTTATATACCTATCAGCTATTGTTGATATAACAAAATCAAAATTATTGATAAAAACAGAATGCAAAGATTTCCAAAATAACATACATTAACAAGAAAAACACCGTATCTATTTAGGATCGAGAGGTTATTTTTATTCGTTTCGAGTTATTTATAAGAGTTTTTTCCGACGGATATCCGGTCAAAATAAATGCGGCCGCTCTTTACGTTCAACACTCAATGACCAATGTCGCCGCATACAATATCGGCGAATGACGGCGATCACTATTCACTCACACACACGTCACACCACGTCCAGGTATGTACATGATCGGTGTAAAAATTAATAATTTAAAAAAAAACTAATAAAATACGAACACGTGGTGTAACGCCAGTGCTATCCGATGACAATCATAATAATAATTATTATCGTCACTGCCTCCCGACATTATAACGTCCGACAATAATAATTACGAACAACAAACACGCGTGCGCGCAATATAAGACAAGTCGTCGGTTGCGAAGAAAAAAGCAGATTATCTCGCGGCCGAAAAATGCATGGACAAAAACGCGAGATAAACACATTTCACGCATGTGCGTATATGCAACAGGTCGCATAAATTTCTCGATATCAACAGAAAACAACGAGACGCGCACGTCTTGCTCCTTTCATTTACACACCAGCGTTTTTTTTATATTCTAGATTCTCCACACGCGAGCGGGCGAACGGGCAACGCGTAAACATTCCCATCAGTTTCGTCTTCGCCGCCACAGTTAGTCCCGTAAACGGGTGTGCGCGCATTACATTTATTTCCGAGGATATTGTAATATTATTATTGTTGCATCGAACTGTTTACACGGAGAAAAAACTTTTGGTTTATTGGGAAAAAAACCTGTGGAAATGGATCCAGACAACGCCGCGGCGGCAACTGGTTGTGCGTCGTGGTGGAGAGGTGGCGGTGAGAGGGTGCAGCAGCGGGTAGCGACTAGCGACGACGGTATGCATGCATTCGTTGGTGTATGTGGTGCGCGTGTGACTGTGGATATGTTTACGGACGTGTTTATTATTATTACTCGAACGAGGTTAATAATAATAGGTATATTATACTTAATACTATATCGACGGTGTTAGGTGACGTTTAAAAAAATACAATGGAGACATGATCACACTCGCCAAGAAGTGTTTTTATCACTTAACATGATTTGGATTTTTGATTAAATCCTTGACGAAAGTGAAAAAACTTAAATGAAAGGGGGAGCAGAAGAGTTCCATTTTATTTATGCGCTTGCAAATATTGAATGTTGTTAACAACGGTTTAATTTAACGCCGTATTAAAATAAAAGAAATAACGTCTTATTAAGAATATTAAGAGAAATGACACCCACTCAACATACCCAGTACGGGGCAGCAGCACCTGCCACTACTCAACCTTCAGTTCGATGATTTGCTGCCGTTCTACGGGACTTATCAGACGGTGACCCAGGTCACTAAAGACAAACATAAACGCGATCTCACACACACGATCGAAGGTCGTAATTTTTCAATTTCTCGCCAGGGAAGGAAAATACGAGAATCGTAAATCGCTCGGCAAGGAGCAATTTAATCGAATTAAATGCGATTTCGTAACGGGACACCGTCTACGAACGGCATCGATTCAAACACAAGATAAAATAATGTTGTTGTCGTCGATACCGGACAGTATTATGTATATTATATGGTACGCATATGTTCCAGGTTCAGGAAAAAAAAGGTTCAGAAGACATTTTTCACTTAAGCCCACCGTGATAAGACACGCCAATGGCGTCTCAAACATCACGGTATCATATACACACCTACAACACAAGACGGCACAGTTATAATACTTCAGGAAATCGGTCAAATGATAATATTATTATTTTAATTCGAACGACGACGGCGATACCACAATCAAACACAACCGGTTTGTTTTAAAATTAAACACACTGTTTTTTTCTTCTCGAAATCCGGTAAATCCGGATTTTATCAATACCGATTTAGATACAATCGAGATCAAAATATCGAACCGATGTAAACTTAGAAGAAACTCACGGAAATACAAATTACAAATCGTTATTACTACAATAGAAAATATCTATGTTTTAACTGGTTTAACAATGGGCACAGTGTACATAAATCATTTTGAATCAAAATAATATTTCACATCTAAATTATTAAAGGAAAAAAAACATTATTTTGTCTGTATTACCGGTGTAAAAAGAGCAAGCCCAAAATTGACTCTTGCCAACAACAAAATAAGGTGTACCGACACCTGTTTTTTTTATTAGTATAGCCGAAAGAAAACAATTACATTCTCGAAAACTTATAGGCAGTTCATAGTTGATTGTCAACAAGTTTTTGAATACGGCTATTGCATACGCGCGAGTGGCAAAATGCTTTACGGACGATAGACAAATATAACATTAATATTATAATTCCATTTATCATATAAAATTCAGGTGCCTATATAATTCCTATTTCCGACAATTATAAAATAAATTAATTTTGATAGTACTGATTGACAAAATGAAAGTTTAAAAATAGACTGAATGAGCACCTTCTCTAATTGGTTGTTTTTCAAACTATTATAATTGGTTACGTTTACCTTAGTTGGAAACGTTTATACAATTATTTCATATCAACTACAACTATAATATTCCAGACGATAGTTTCACAGAAAGCACGACATTACTACGATAATATTATATTTTAGGCGTACAGTTTCTTCAGAAAAATCCAAACGAAGGGGAATACAAATCACCACAAATTACTACCTATTTACACGGTGAGAAAATAAAAATGTGAAACCCATTCATAAGACATTTTAACTATACCGGACACGGTTGTGCAGCGACTGGTGAGACACAAGTGCGTACAGGCAGGGTGTGTAGTTGTAGTGGGCGTGCGCCGGAGGGGTGGTCTATGACGACGTTGACACTGAGGGCGACGGCGGCGGATGGACTAAGTTCAACAAACGTCGGGAATTACGTGGGCTGTAGGCAATTTAATTTGGCACGCGGCCGCCCGCGCTTAGGGGTAGTCGGGTTGAAATTCACGTAGTGCTCGACGCGTGGGCCGCACTTTACAGGGGTGGAGGTATAGTGTGTGGTGTATAGGCTATGAGCTACGGGGTATAATACATACAATACAATGAGTGTTTTTCATTTTCAGGATTAGTCCCAAAATCAATTTTCGATGACGCAAGTGAAAATCGTGGTTCCAGGGAGGGGGAGGGGGCAGTGTTGTAGTATGGTATTATATTTGAAATATTTTACATTCCACTTTTCGAGGCTTTTGAGTATAAAATGAATGTCACAGTCAGCGGTGATAAAAATTAATGTTTGATCTTTTTTGTGTATAAAATGATTGTGTACCTATTATTTAAGCCTACGAGCCACAATGTATTAAATTTTTATATAATTTTATACAAACAAACAATAAAAAATATCATTTTTTTATCACCGGAAATTCACATTCATGATAAAA